GTGAACTGAGCCAGGCGTTTCCCTCAGACTGAATTCTACCAGTAGGAGTAATTCAGCAGAAGCACTAGTCAGTCAGATGCCAGTTCATTTCAAGGAGACATTTCTCTCTCATATTTTAACTGTCTTGAATTACAACATTTTTTGTCTGTTTTATATCCTTCAATCCATAAATGTTCCTACAAAAGATGAAAACAAGGGAAAATAGGATATTGGCTTTTTATTTATTAATTTTTTTATTCTGTCATTCATTATTGACAATGTGAATGTGTATCCAGTGAAGTTTCCACTTAATGCAATGTTAATGAATAGGTAACATCATGTTCAGTATTAATGAATAGGTAACATCATGTTCAATATTAGTGACTAGGTAATGTAATGTTCAATATTAGTGACTAGGTAACGTAATGTTCAATATTAGTCACTAGGTAACATCACATTCAATAGTAATGAATAGGTAACATCATGTTCATTATTAGTGAATAGGTAACATCATGTTCATTATTAATGAATAGGTAACATCATGTTCATTATTAATGAATAGGTAACATGTTCATTATTAATGAAAAGGGAACATCATGTTCAGTATTAATGAATAGGTAGCATCATGTTCAGTATTAATGAATAGGTAACATCATGTTCAGTATAAATGAATAGGTAACATCATGTTCAGTATTAATGAATAGGTAACATCATGTTCAGTATTAATGAATAGGTAACATCATGTTCAGTATTAATGAATAGGTAACATCATGTTCAGTATTAATGAATAGGTAACATCATGTTCATTATTAATGAATATGTAACATCATGTTCAGTATTAATGAATAGGTAACATCATGTTCAGTATTAATGAATAGGTAACATCATGTTCAGTATTAATGAATAGGTAACATCATGTTCAGTATTAATGAATAGGTAACATCATGTTCAATAGTAATGAATAGGTAACATCATGTTCAGTATTAATGAATAGGTAACATCATGTTCATTATTAATGAATAGGTAACGTCATGTTCGTTATTAATGAATAGGTAACATGTTAGTTATTGATGAATAGGTAACATCATGTTCAGTATTAATGAATAGGTAACATCATGTTCAGTATTAATGAATAGGTAACATCATGTTCAGTATTAATGAATAGGTAACATCATGTTCAGTATTAATGAATATGTAACATCATGTTCAGTATTAATGAATAGGTAACATCATGTTCAGTATTAATGAATAGGTAACATCATGTTCAGTATTAATGAATAGGTAACATCATGTTCATTATTAATGAATAGGGAACATCATGTTTGTTATTAATGAATAGGTAACATCATGTTCGTTATTAATGAATAGGTAACATCATGTTCGTTATTAATTAATAGGTAACATCATGTTCGTTATTAATGTATAGGTAACATCATGTTCGTTATTAATGAATAGGTAACATCATGTTCGTTATTAATTAATAGGTAACATCATGTTCGTTATTAATGTATAGGTAACATCATGTTCGTTATTAATGAATAGGTAACATCATGTTCGCTATTAATGTATAGGTAACATCATGTTCAGTATTAATGAATAGATAACATCATGTTCAGTATTAATGAATAGGTAACATCATGTTCAATAGTAATGAATAGGTAACATCATGTTCAGTATTAATGAATAGATAACATCATGTTCAGTATTAATGAATAGGTAACATCATGTTCATTATTAATGAATAGGTAACATCATGTTCATTATTAATGACTAGGCAATGTAATGTTCAATATTAGTGACTAGGTAACATAATGTTCAATATTAATGAATAGGTAACGTAATGTTCAATATTAGTGACTAGGTAACATCATGTTCATTATTAATGACTAGGCAATGTAATGTTCAATATTAGTGACTAGGTAACATCATGTTTAATATTAGTGACTAGATAACATCATGTTCAGTATTAATGAATAGGTAACATCATGTTCGTTATTAATGAATAGGTAACATGTTTGTTATTTATGAATATGTAACATCATGTTCGTTATTAATGATTAGGTAACATCATGTTCGTTATTAATGAATAGGTAACATCATGTTCATTATTAATGAATAGGTAACATGTTCAGTAGTAATGAATAGGTAACATCATGTTCAGTATTAATGAATAGGTAACATCATGTTCAGTAGTAATGAATAGGTAACATCATGTTCAGTATTAATGAATAAGTAACATCATGTTCAGTATTAATGAATAGGTAACATCATGTTCAGTATTAATGAATAGGAAACATCATGTTCAGTATTAATGAATAGGAAACATCATGTTCAGTATTAATGAATAGGTAACATCATGTTCAGTATTAATGAATAGGTAACATCATGTTCGTTATTAATGAATAGGTAACATCATGTTCGTTATTAATGAATAGGTAACATCATGTTCGTTATTAATGAATAGGTAACATCATGTTCGCTATTAATGAATAGGTAACATCATGTTCAATAGTAATGAATAGGTAACATCATGTTCATTATTAATGACTAGGCAATGTAATGTTCAATATTAGTGACTAGGTAACATAATGTTCAATATTAATGAATAGGTAACGTAATGTTCAATATTAGTGACTAGGTAACATCATGTTCATTATTAATGACTAGGCAATGTAATGTTCAATATTAGTGACTAGGTAACATCATGTTCAATATTAGTGACTAGATAACATCATGTTCAGTATTAATGAATAGGTAACATCATGTTCGTTATTAATGAATAGGTAACATGTTTGTTATTTATGAATAGGTAACATCATGTTCGTTATTAATGATTAGGTAACATCATGTTCGTTATTAATGAATAGGTAACATCATGTTCGTTATTAATGAATAGGTAACATCATGTTCAGTATTAATGAATAGGTAACATCATGTTCATTATTAATGAATAGGTAACATCATGTTCAGTAGTAATGAATAGGTAACATCATGTTCAGTATTAATGAATAGGTAACATCATGTTCATTATTAATGAATAGGTAACATCATGTTCAGTAGTAATGAATAGGTAACATCATGTTCAGTATTAATGAATAGGTAACATCATGTTCAGTATTAATGAATAAGTAACATCATGTTCAGTATTAATGAATAGGTAACATCATGTTCAGTATTAATGAATAGGAAACATAATGTTCAGTATTAATGAATAGGAAACATCATGTTCAGTATTAATGAATAGGTAACATCATGTTCAGTATTAATGAATAGGTAACATCATGTTCAGTATTAATGAATAGGTAACATCATGTTCAGTATTAATGAATAGGAAACATCATGTTCAGTATTAATGAATAGGAAACATCATGTTCAGTATTAATGAATAGGTAACATCATGTTCAGTATTAATGAATAGGTAACATCATGTTCGTTATTAATGAATAGGTAACATCATGTTCGTTATTAATGAATAGGTAACATCATGTTCGTTATTAATGAATAGGTAACATCATGTTCGCTATTAATGAATAGGTAACATCATGTTCAATAGTAATGAATAGGTAACATCATGTTCATTATTAATGACTAGGCAATGTAATGTTCAATATTAGTGACTAGGTAACATAATGTTCAATATTAATGAATAGGTAACGTAATGTTCAATATTAGTGACTAGGTAACATCATGTTCATTATTAATGACTAGGCAATGTAATGTTCCAATATTAGTGACTAGGTAACATCATGTTCAATATTAGTGACTAGATAACATCATGTTCAGTATTAATGAATAGGTAACATCATGTTCGTTATTAATGAATAGGTAACATGTTTGTTATTTATGAATAGGTAACATCATGTCGTATTAATGATTAGGTAACATCATGTTCGTTATTAATGAATAGGTAACATCATGTTCGTTATTAATGAATAGGTAACATCATGTTCAGTATTAATGAATAGGTAACATCATGTTCATTATTAATGAATAGGTAACATCATGTTCAGTAGTAATGAATATGTAACATCAGTTCAGTATTAATGAAATTTAGGTTTGGGGAAATCATGTTCATATTAAAATGGAACATCATGTTCGTAAATGAATAGGTAAAATTTTTTTATAAAAAAACATATGTTCAGTATTAAAAAAA